GGGGTGTAGGTGAGGAGGACGACTCGGCGTCCTTCCCATGGCTCTGTTTGATGCCATTGTCCTGGAGGAAATGATACTGCCTTCCCTGGAGCCAATTCATGTAGAACTCCTCGTTTCCATTGTCCAGGCTTTGTTTCTCTCCAGACATCGTCGTGGCCATAGTCCGTCTCCTTCTTTTCTACCCACACCTGACCATTGTTGAAGTCAGTCAAGGCCGTCACGGTGTTAAGCGTTCCCTCTTGGTTGTGGCTGTCACGGTGCGGGGCCATACTCACATTTTCTACCACGGCCACACTCCCAAAGTCGCCGCTCCCGGTCATCTCCTTTGCTGCCTTCACCAGGTACGCAGTGACATTCGGTAGCTGCCTTGTCAGCTTCATGATGCCACAAACGCCGCCATGTGTGTAGCAACCCGCATAGAAGGAACCTCCGTTGTCCTTGACCACCATGGATTTCATGCCTCTTCTCGTTGGTCGCGGAATGCTTTTCAACTTCTCCCAGAGGTTCAACACGTCTCCGGGCTCATACATCTCCTCAACATCCAGCTCCTTCGCGTAGGCTTCAATGTCCTCGTACGGGTTGGTGATCAGTGCTAGCCGGGCCTTTGTTCTCAACCTCCTTTCAGGCACTGGCAGCTCGACTTCCACCGGGCTGCCATCTGCAAGGGCTTCAGCATCAACCAAACCTTCTCGGACATGGCAACTCGTAACGAAGGTGCCATCATCGTACCTGACGACCAAGCCATTCTTCACATCGCTGCTGTAGCCCACAAACCGGCCTTCACCCCACCGAGGGTCCAGATCATAGGACCCCCCAGTTCCAAAGACCTTTGTCTTTACTGCAACCCCGACTCCAAAGGTGGGGTCCTTGGTGGTAGGCTGTCCCAGCGCCCGCTTTCTTTGACGTTGAGCAGCATAACTCATTGCCAAAGGCCAACATTCTCTCGGTAACGACGAAGCTCCCAACAGCACCTTCGCATACTTCTTCACGCTCTTGACCATGGCCTCGGCTCTTCCGTTCTGTTGGGGTGTCTGTGATTCACCAGTAGTGATCCAAACGTCCTTCTCGTAGAGCCATTGCCGGAGAGCCGAAGATTTCAATTCCCTCGCGCGGTCCGAGTGGACACGGGTGATGGGATGTCCTTCCTGACGAACTTGTAGGTACATCCGCCTCATGGCTGCGTTCACATCAACCTTTTGCCGCGACCTCAAAGGTACCACATAGAGCAAGGTTTGAAACTCCATCTCATCGCCCACCTGGTCAAAGACTTCCTTGTACATCTTGCTATAGTCCTCGTTCTTTTGATCCAAATCCATCCGATCTTCTTCTGGAAAAGGTTCGGATTCCTCCTCCTCGGCCAAGAAACCATCATCTTCTTGAAGAACTGGACCTACTCCTCCTCCGTCGTCTACTAGAGGTACTGGACCTGGATCACGTCCTCCATTGACTTCTGGGTGTACTGGACCTGGATCACGTTCTCCATCGACTTCTGGGTGTACTGGAC